AATGGTAAGGTAGGTATGGGTTGATTAAAGTTTAGGGCTTCTCGTTACCTTTTCATGGATAAAAGGATCGTCGGAATCAGATTTATAACGAAGAAGTTATGGCCTTTAGAGTGCTTAAGGGTTTAAGATGGACCCCTAGTATGCAGGGCGTACTTAGGGAGTACGCGGGGCGTAATGATGAAAAGGGTATTACATTGGGTGTAATGTTGTGTATGCTTAGCGTATTGCGAGGGTCAGATCGGGGTTGCGAGACCTCGTACTCTGGGCGTACAAGGAGTACGTGAGGCGTACGAGGGGTAAAGGAAAAACCCTAATTTAGAAGTTGTATCCTATATAAACATATTAAGTCTTTTTAGCTGGCCTCTTTACCAGCCTCCAGGTCCTAAAAACCTTATAAATAGTCTCTAAGCCTCCATGGTTGTGATTTTGAACTCATGGTGTGCATTTTGTTGTTTTTGGGCCATTTCCAAGAAGATGGATTTTGGTGCAAGGTTGTGGATAAAGGAAGAGCTTGTGAATATTGATTATGTGCTTCATTTCCAGCTTGTTTGAGGTAAAAAGCTTTGATCTTGTTCATTGTTGGCTTAGATCTATGTTGTATGAGTTTTGGTCCCTTTTTGGCCCCAAGAATGAGATCTAGTGGTTTGGTACCACTGCAGGAGCTATGAGTTGCCACTCTTGGTGTTTCTGAGGTTCTAGATGCTTAGAGTTGCCTCCTTTAGGTTTTAGAATCCCCCATGCATGAGATGGTGTCCTTTTGGTGAAAGTATAATGCTTTATCTTGAAGATTGGTTCTTTTGGGACATGCAAAGTCACCAAGTCAGTGACTTTATGGTTCTAGACACTTGTGTGGGCTCAGATCTATGATTTGGACTTCTGGACTTAAGCATTAACAGCTTAATGTCGAAATTGGCTTAATGGATGAGTATGTTGGGTGTATAAGTCTGTACGCGTAGCGTACAAGCCTAATTGCATGTACGCTTAGCGTACAGCTGAGTAAGCCCCGCGTAATCAGTCAGGAGGGTTTTGCCTTTTGAGCTTCGTGTTGGGCTTCCTTTTGGGGCTTGGGTGTTTGAGTTCTTAATTGGCCATCTGAGTACAAGTGTTTTGGACTAAGAAAATTGCTTGGGCCTTAAGTTAAGGCCCATGTGAGGGGTTTGGTCCCAATTTGGAAAATTGGGCCATATTTGGGCCTTGGTTGGTTATTTGGTTTTTGGGCCTTTCAGGATGTGAGTTTGGGCCTTGGTCTTGGACCAAGCTAGGTTAGGGGTAAAATGGTCTTTTTACCCCGAGTCTGGATTTATGGTTATGGTTTGAACCCAATTGTTAATTGGGTGTTGTTTTGATATTAACAGTTCGAGGAATCTGCCAGCCAGCAGCCAATGATCGTTTGTGTGATTCGGCAGCGCGAGGTAAGTTTCCTCACTGGGTTTAGCGGGACGAAGGCACCAATGACGACCCATAGTTTTTATGTTAGAGTGCTAGATGTCTGCATAACTATTGCATGCTTTATGAGATGGTATGGTTACCGGGCAAGGCCCGATGCTAGACGGGCCTGATGAGTATATTGTATGCTAGTTATTAGTATTTGTTTTTATGTTTACCGGGCAAAGCCCGATGCCGGGCGAGACTCGATGATGGTATGGTATGTTATAGTCTTTGTGATTATTGCATGTGTTAGTAACGGTATACGTTTATATGATTATATTGTTATATGATTATGTGTGTATCAGGTGAGGCCCAATATCACGCGGGGCCTAGTGAGTGACTGATTTGTAATCCGAGCGGGGTTCGATGTCGGGAGGGGCTTGAGGCCGAGCGGGGCCTGGGGTCGAGTGGGACTCGAGACCGAGCTAGGCTCGATGGAGGGCGGGGGCCCAGTATGTGTGGTATGAGGTATCTTGGGGAACTCACTAAGCTTTGTGCTTATGGTTTTCAGTTTATATTTCAGGTACTTCGGTTTTCAAATGGAATGGCTTGGGATGATTGCAGCGCACACACCACATGTTTCCGCATTCTGTGAATTACTCTGATTTAATGATGTTTTGTTAAATCTTGATTACCTTGGTTTTATAGAGATCATATGTATTAACGATTTATTAATCTAAAAACGAAAATTTTATGTCATTATTTTTGGGACGTTGCATATATATATATATATATATATATATATATATATATATATATATATATATATATATATATATATATATATATATAGAGTTGAGAACCGTTGAGAACTCATAGTTTCCTGAAAACCTGAGAACTAAAGGTGGAGCGTTAGATCAAAATTAACTCATTAAGGTCATGATCGTCATCTTACCGATCTCATTTAATGTTTAATTTATTTATTTTTTTGTTATTGAAAATATTAATAAAAAGTTTTAAAAATTAACATAATAAATCAATTTTCGATTTTTTTTTAAATAATTATCGTTTTAAAAAAAAATGCAGATTTTTTAATTTTTTTCAGAAAACATGAATTTTTTAAAAAATTGAAGAAAAATATATATTTTATTTTAAAAACTGTAATTTTTTCAAAAAACTACAATTTTTTAAAAAAAAAAACTGCATATTTCTAAAAAAAACTGCAATTTAAAAAAAAAAACTGCATTTTTGTTTAAAAAAAATCTGAAACAATTTTTTCAAAAAAACTGCAATTTAAAAAAAACTATATTTTTTAAAAAAAGTAAAATGCTAAAAATCAGTAAGTTTTACCAAAAAAAAAATTAGATTAGTTAAAAAAATCAACGTTTTAGGTGAATATGAATATTTTTTCAAATGCATATATGCATATTTATTATACTATAATATTCGTAAGTGATCATAAAAAATCTCATTTTTATTAATCAATCTATAAACATAATATAACAAGTAATTTATTCGATACAGAATAAAATATGAAAAATAAAAAATGCTACGAAGATTTATAGTCTTATCATTTCTTCATATCAAGATTTCCATATTTTCTTCAATTTATCACTTTTCACCTCTTCAATATTTTCAACAAATTCATCAAAACCTACAAGAATTTTTTTTTATAAAATTGATTAATGCAAGAACACTCAGAAAAATGCACAAGTATATATCATGTAAGATTCACATGTGATTATATCATGTAAGATTCAAATGTGATTGTATCTTTTAAGATTCAAAAGTGAAATTCACAAGAAAATTTAAAAAAAAAATAATTAACGAAAACCACTCACACAAAATGCATGTGTGCATATAGACGTAATTCATATGTGATTCAGTAGTGATTTACATGTGAATCACATGTAATTGATATATGATTCACTTGTGATTTACATGTGAGTTACATGTGATTAATATGTGAATTACATGTAATTTATATGTGAATCACATATAATTCATATATGATTCACTTGTGAATCACATATAATTCATATGTGATTTACATGTGAATCACAAGTGAATCATATGTGAATTAAATATGATTTACATGTGAATCAAATGTAATTCATATGTGAATTATATATTATATACATGTGAATCACATGTAATTCATATGTGATTTACTTGTGATTTACATGTGAATCACAAGTGAATCATATGTGAATTACATGTGAATCACATGTAATTCATATGTGAATTACATGTGAATCACATGTAATTCATATGTGAATCACTTGTGATTTACATGTGAATCACATGTAATTCATATGTGATTTACATATAAATCATGTGTGAATTACATGTGACTCACATGTAATTCTTATGTGATTTACATGTGAATCACATGTAATTCATAATTACATGTGAATCACATGTAATTCATATGTGATTTACTTGTGATTTAAATGCGAATCACATGTAATTCACATATGAATTACATGTGATTTACTTATAACCGTCACACCATGATTCAGACAAATACAAAAATTCAAGAAAATTCGAACATGAACCATTATTAATTATGATTGACCTGATAGAAGAGTTGTTGGATGACACTTTGAATCATATCCACATGGAGGTCCTTGTTATTCTTCCGAGTCTTGTTCTTCCATTTTTACAGTTGAGTTCTCATGCATATATCATTATATATTGCACTGCTTCCCGTGAATGCAAGCTGTAAAACATGCTTCCTTCCATGCATCTCCAAAGGCCTGTTATGTAACATACATGAAAATAAAAAGAATCCCCTTAATGACTCCATCAACACATTCAAGAAAGACTATATATTTATATTAACCTTTGTGTCATCAGAAACTCAATCTCCAACAGCACCAAAGCTATCAACATTCACAAGAACCCTAACACCGCGTTCATCACCTGACCATGATGGCAAGTCAGAATCATCTTCTATTTTTAAACTTTTATCCTCAAGCATGTCTAAGGAGTCAGAAAAATTGCTTTCTGCATACTCACAAACCAACAACAGAGACAAAGAAACAAAAGAAATAAATACAAGAGTGCTCATGATGTATAAGTTGTGAATACTGTTTTTTGATGTATAGAAATCAAATGAAGACGTGATATTTTAATTTATATATATTAATTAATTAATACCTATAAATTAAATAAGTTATTCGAGATCTGCTTGCATCACTTCCTTTTGTCATTGCTTCTAGAGATCCCATTCCTCGATATTTTTTAACCCGTTGACCACCCTAGTTCACCAAAATGAGAAAAAGGACTTAATCTGGTAAGTTATATACGAGTGTTTTCTTTTTGCTTAATAAATTTAAAATTGCAAGTTACCAACCTGATTTGTATAAGCTCCAGCAGCTTTAGTACTTCCTGCTAAAAAGCTCCCCTCATGACAGTTGATGCTCCTAAAGTCAAAGCTTTATATAGCATTTGCAACGAGAACAACGAACAGGTCCACCTTTACCAAAATCCACTATCTAGAAAAATAATTCACACATTTTCAGTATATATTGAAATTATTATATCTCAATTTCAATAATTTCAAGAAAACAAGTATTTTCTAATTTCCAGTCTTACTTGGATAGGCTCCTCGGATGGATGTGGAAGAGCTAATGGTTGAACCATAAAGCCAATTGCATGCCAGATGTGTTTAAAAGATCTGAAGTGCAAGGAATCTAAACAAACAAAAACAAAATCAATCTTACATTAAAACATTTCACAAGAAAAGTAGATGAAAATGAAAGACATTAAGACAACATGTATCACCTGATTAATGGTGCACCTCATGTACCTAGGGCTGCAATTTCCAGTATCCCTTACAATAAAATCACTTGTAGTAGGCTTCAATATTAGAAAAAAAATAAGAATATAAGATTAAACCAATTGAATTCAAGCATAAATGAGATTTAGATAGGTTATGATAACATTATCCGTACATTTTTAAACAAAATGTTTGCTTCCATAATTTTTTAAATAAGTTAACTAACCTAAAAATTATCACATTTTGGATATAGCGCATGATCTGGTTGGTAACTCTGCATCCATTAAGACTCCGAACCATCTGTTTGTCTGCATTCTACAGTATTGAATCCTGAGAAATATCCAAATCCTGTAAAATGGAGTTCATTAGTAAAGTAACCAATTAGTTTTTAGTAATAGATGGAGATGAAAGAAATATAGGAAAGTTTAGTTACTTCAGGTATGACCCAAAGTGAAAGTTTTGCATAGAGAAGATATATAGATACACCATTCAAATTGAATTTCATCATAGGAACGTGAGCCTCAGGTACAGGATGCAATTCTGTGACATCAGGCATATCTGAGAGCATTCTTTTAAGCTCACCAAAGAAATCTTCATGTTATTATACAAGCATTAGTAAGTGAGTTGACTGAACTAAACATTAGGATTATAAGAGCCTAAAGTGGGTAGAGACAGAGTAGATCTTACATCCCGCGACACATACCTCGGTCCAACACAGAGTGTATCGATATCAGCACCAGGACCGTGCACCTAATAATAATAATATTATCACATTTTGGATATATGTAGCCAAGACCAACATGAAACAAAAGTTGGTTCCCAGATATCCTCCTATCTAAGGGAAAGGAAGACAGAAGAAAATAATGAGTAAATATCCGAAGTTTGATTTCAAAGCCAAAATTGCTTGATTGAACATCTGCGTGAGAAAGAAAAAAAATCCAATTGCTAGGGATTTAGATGAAAGTACCTGATTCGTGATGAAAATCGATCTACTTCGAGTTTGTATATGCGGTTTCTATCTTCGGTGAGATTTCACAGTCATCGTTGATTAGGAGTAGGTGGTTTAATGGTTACGAGAGAGAGAGAAAGAGAGAGAGAGAGAGAGAGAGAGAGAGAGAGAGAGAGTGAGTGAGTGAGAGAGAAAGAGAGAGATATATTAATGTTGAAGACATCTTCTATCCTAATAACCAAGATCAATCTCGATCGTTGGAGGATTTTGGAGTTCAGATCTTCACATCGATTGACGAGGATATCGATAGAGGATGAGGCGACAACATCAGAAGGCAAGACGATGACATCAGAAAGGAATGAAAGAGATTTCTAAACGTGAATGATGAGACTATGCAATTGAATTCAACCATTGAAATTGAGAGCTAAATCAAATAGATTGTGTTTCAAATCAGAGTTCAATCATAACAATTTTAACAGTGAAGAACAATAACATGATTCGATGGTGATATCGTTCATAAAGGATTAAGAATAACAATTCACCGATGAACACGATCGATAATTAGAAGCACAATTAACAGATCATATGAATCGTACACGATATCTATGCTTGTGCTTGATCAAATCGACTATGAATGAGAGATTTCTCGGTTTCTCGTCAATGTTTTCGCCGACAGATGGGACACCTCCCGATGGCGGAGCGATGAAGAATGTATATGTGTGTGTGTGGTGTGTGTGAGAGAGAGACAAATATAGAGAAAGAGAAATAAAGTCAGTGAGTAAAAAAAAAGAAATGACGTTTTATTAATTAATTAAACTGATTATTAGGATATTATATATTTTATGCCCAATATACCCCTCTCATCATTTTTAAAAAGTCTAATATAACATTAAAACAATTGATACTTACAATTATGCCACTTTTGATCTAAGCCGTTAAAAGTTTTGATCTAACGTTCCACCTTTAGTTCTCGGGTTCTCGGGAAACTCTAGGTTCTCAAATGATCCTTCCTCTCTCTCTCTCTCTCTATATATATATATATATATATATATATATATATATATATATATATATATATATATATATATATATATATATATATATATATATATATATTCCGGAAAACCTTAGGAACAATTATTAGGAACAATTATTATCTTTGTAGGGTTCAGATTTTTGCCACAGATGTTTGTGGGATTGGTTGTTTTGGCCCCTGCCTCCGTAACATCCAATCAGGTTTTTACTTCCCGATCCTTCCACCACCGCTCACTTTATCCTCTCCCAAATTGAGTCTCCTCCAATTCCTGCTCCACCAAACTTCTTCCTTGCTGGAAACCCTCGACGCTCAAATCATAGTGCGTCATCTCCCTTAAGACCTTCACGATGAAAAAGACAAAGAACAACAGTAGCCGTTGTGGATGGCGAAAGATTTCAAAGCTCAATATCGATTTGAATACAAAATTAGTCTACTTTCTTAAGTCACACTTTCGATATCGATGTTATCTTTGAAGTTCCGGAAAACGTCCGGCCGCATGGAACTACCGAAGCTCCACCAGACATCTGTAAATCGTGAGATGTTAAACAGATCGACAATTCCTTCGATTTTGGGGTTTTATGTCCATCAACAATTCCTAATTATGTTGAAAAGAGTTACATGTATGCTTTCTATCCATCATCGATTCTTACTTTTGATTTCAACACTGTCAGCTTCTCCCCTAGTGTATAAAAGGAAAAGTATAGCATATATATAACCCATAAAAGGAAATGTATAATATATATAACCCATAAGTTGAATTTCACGAATCCCATTGTTTAGGTTAAATCGAATTAAAAGTAAGCATATACGTTTCCTTTTATACACAAGATCTCGATTTTGGGGTTATCTATGGTATACATTTCCGCCGATTCTTAATTTTTGTCGTTTTCAACTAAACACTGTCAACTTCTTCCCTTGTGGGCATTCAACAGAAAAACAACTATCAACAACATTAACAACACGGTCAATCGTAAACCTAACCTTAATGCTTCGGTGAATATTCTTACTAAACCCTCATGGGGAAGACAATGAAGGTAAGAATAAGCTTCCAACCTTCAATTTAATGTTAGATTCAGTAATTAGTTGTTTTTTAATTATTTTGATTCCAACTATTGATCAGTTATACACTCGGAAATTTGAGTTTCTTTCTTATATTCATTAGTTAGTGTCAATTTCGTCTTTTTAATCTGTATCCTACACTGACTGAAATGGAATTGTGTTTATTGAGTCTACACATACTAGATTATTATGAAGATTGTATTTTTAACTTCTTTTTTGTGATTTCAGCTTACTAAAGAAGATGAAGTTGAGAAGTAGAAAATTGGTTAACAGAGAAGACGCAACAGCAAGACTCACTTTCAACACATGCTGATCCACTTCTTCTGTCATTTGGTGTTAGAATGAAAGCAAATGTCATGGGAAAGTATACATATTATTAAGTCATCAAACAGTTCAAGAGTTTATTTTTGGTTATTTTGATAACCAAAACATAAAAGCGGAAGCATAAACTTTGGATCTTTTAATCTCGAATCTGATTAAAAGAAAACTTAGACATTAAAGAACGATTACATACCTGATTTCATTATGATCTTTGGATCTGAATAACTAGGGTTGCATTTTCCAGTTGATCTCAAGAGCTCTCTCTAAAATCCCTCAGCAAACCCTAAACGAATTTTCATGTGTATTTCGTGTGTCTTGATTTGCTCTTCATCACATGCATTTATAGATGGATATAAATCCTAATGTGAGAGATGGAAGGGATCTTGAGGATCTTGAGTCAAACTGGGAACTCAACCCACAAGGTAAGCTAATATTCTATAAATCAGTCCATCAACAATTTATATTCTTACCATAATAATTGGATTTAATAATATATCGTACATATTTATGAAGTGGTCCCATAATTATCCAACAATCTCCCACTGGACCACGAATATATAAATGTACGTATAACTGTATAAGCGCTTTAATGAATGTTATTATAACATTGGTACCCTTAAACAATCTCGTCCACTAATCATAATAGTATAGGATCAAAGTGGCCTTCGTTACAATTTACGTAACTAAACCTATCAATGGTTACATATACATATATAACTAACAACATAGATTAAACAAGATGTGTGGTTTTAAAATCTAAATAGATTTCCGACGAGTTCCTCTTTAGATTGAAGTGAGATCAAACTTCAAATAAGTGCAACTAATAATGGAGTTAACCGAATTCTTAATTCTGTACAGAAAAACATAATTGTTCTTAAACAAAACATAAAGCACCATAAAACTCCCACTAAAACCAAATATCACACCAACGTTTGTAGTATGCTCATGAAAGACCTAGGGAGGTAATCCCTTTATGAGCGGATCCGCTTTCATGGAGTTTGTTCATATGTGATATGTATATTTCCATTTTGCACTATTATGTTAACAGAAGGAAACTTGATGTCAATATTCTTTGACTTAATAGGAATTCTGTTGTTGGAATATAATATTGCTCACTTATTAACACAACTTTAGTGGTATTTCAATACCAATAATGTGTAGCCTCGTGACAAATTTCCGCAACCATATTACATGCTACAAATTATGATGCGATTATGGAAGAAGCTACCAAAGTCTATTCCATGAAATGGCTCATCATGTAAAAATTTAAAAGTATCCCGATATGGATCGGTAATCATTTTGGCATCTAATAAAATCAGATTCTTAATAAAAATGATCTCCAAAACATCCGATTTCCTATAGTTGAGCATATATCCTTTTTTGTTATATACAGATATCTCAAAATCCATGTGACTGCTTTCTTATGATCCAAACTTGGGTTGTGTAGATATCTGCCCAAAACCAGAAAGATAAATTTACTCCCACATAATTTGTGATACACAAAATCATCTATTGCATTTACCTCAAAACCGAAAGAGATAATAAATTGATGAAAAAATATGGTACCACGCATAGGATATCTAAAGTTGAGATTGTTGAGTTTGTGTATTCAGAATAGGAGATTGAATAACATTCTCGATCACTAATTCATAATTTGCATACTATCGAAAGCAATAATAGGAATCAAGATTGATTCCTCCTTAAGGACAATGTTTTGGCCTTGTTTCTCCCCCAAACTCAACATCCTCAAAGGATGTTGCTCTATCCAAAATGCAAGGTCAATATCCATGCAATTTAGAATTAACATAATGCCCCTCAATCCATTCCTTAAAGTTAATCTCATTGAGTACATGAATCATAAATGTGATCAATGTTAGCAGATATAATACCATAATTCAAACATAAGCAAATCTTTTTTTATGCTCATTAATCCAT